CCCCGGCCTTTCCCTCCCGGGACTGGCGCTGCCCCTCTCGCCTCTGGGAACCCCAGGCCTGGCCCCTGGGATGGACCAACCTGCCCTGGCTCTGGGGGCTCCCCAAGCTGTACCTGGCATGGGACTGAGCCCCCCTCTGACTGTGAGCGCCCCTCCCCTGGCCTTCCCTGAGGCTCTCCCTAGATACCCCTTGCTAATGCCCCCTCCCCCGCGCTGGGGCAGAGTCTCTCTGAGTCCTCGAGCTACGAGTGGATCTGAGTCTGCAAGGTGTTGCTTGCAGTATAACAACAGGCTGATTGTCCGGGCCTTGTGCTGCAGTTACACGTCTGGGCAGCCCAACATTTCTGGGATGTGGAATAGGGATGTAAACGACCACTTGACTAATAACTCGACTAATCACCCCTCCTCCCCCCGCTGCCTCTGTTAGAGAGACAGAAAAGGGAGGCGAGTGGATCTGAGTCTGCAAGGTGTTGCTTGCAGTATAACAACAGGCTGATTGTCCGGGCCTTGTGCTGCAGTTACACGTCTGGGCAGCCCAACATTTCTGGGATGTGGAATAGGGATGTAAACGACCACTTGACTAATAACTCGACTAATCACCCCTCCTCCCCCCGCTGCCTCTGTTAGAGAGACAGAAAAGGGAGGGAAGCCAGGGCTGGAAGGAGACGGCTTAAAAGCTGGTTTCCCCCAGCACCGTCTACATGAGGGGGAGCAGGGGCGCAGCAGGGAACTGGCAGCGCTTCCGCCTTTGAAATGTAGCAAGACCTGGCAGGACTCCTGCCACGTTTCAAAGGCGGAGGTACCCTTGTCGACTTATCGAATAGTCAATGCAAATTCCAGGCACTGTTGGAGGAGTGGATTACTCTAAATGCAACATCCCTAGGCTATGTCTACACCGTTCTTGCGCAAGAATCTGCAGAGCGTCCACACTGCCCGCCTGCTCTTGCGCAAGGACATGTACAGTACGGCGTGGTAAGAGAGGGCTCCTTGCGCAAGAGTTACGCTCTTTTTTAATCAGGTGCATGCCCTCTTGCGCAGGCGCTCTTGCACAAGAGGGCAGTGTGCACGCTCGGCAGGGATTTCTTGCGCAAGAGAGCCCTATGGCTAAAATGGCCATCAGAGCTTTCTTGCACAAGAGAGCATCCGCACGGCCATGGGAGCTCTTGCGCAAAAGTACAGCGCACACATGGCAGTGTGGACGTTTTCTTGCGCAAGACTTCTTGCACAAGAACCCTTGCACGAGGTGTTCTTGCACAAGAAGCCGCCAGTGTAGCATAGCCCTAGTGTGGCGACTTGGCTAAGGGACGGGGTTGGACCCTCGTGCCCGAGCAGCTGAGACGGGAGCTGGCCAGGTCTCCCAAGCTTTCTGTTTTATGTCAATATGCAGCCAATATTTGGTTAGCAAACTGAAACAGACTTCTTGCACAAGAACCCTTGCACGAGGTGTTCTTGCACAAGAAGCCGCCAGTGTAGCATAGCCCTAGTGTGGCGACTTGGCTAAGGGACGGGGTTGGACCCTCGTGCCCGAGCAGCTGAGACGGGAGCTGGCCAGGTCTCCCAAGCTTTCTGTTTTATGTCAATATGCAGCCAATATTTGGTTAGCAAACTGAAACCAGATGA